CGCCCGTCGCAGGCCGCCTCCGAGAGCAGAGGACACGCGTGCGGGGCCTCCCATGGCGCCGGAGGGGACACGGAGCCTTCGGAGGGGAAGGGACTGGGCCACAGCCATGGGGCCAGCTGGCTACTGAGCTGAGCCATGCGCCTGGCCACTCTGCACCGAGGCCGAGCGGACACCAGGTTGCTCCGCACGGGCCGCACTCCGTCTCGGTGTCAGCCTTGACTCCTCCGGCCCGTCCCTATCCTGAGAGCTCTGGCCGCGCCCAAGTCCCCGGGGCTCAGTGGGCGTGGCCACACCGTCTTCCCCAAGCCCGCACAGCTCCCTTCCCACAGCTCTGACGCCACCGATCCTGTCCAAACCCAAGTCAGCTCCTGCCCTGCTTTCTGCCCAGAACCCTCCATGGCTCCCACTTCCCCCAGCGTCATCACTGGCGTCCCGGCCATGGTCACAATGGCCCTCTGGGATCCGGTATGGCCCCATGCTTCCCCCTGCTGCCACCTCGTTCCCTTCTCCGCCATCCCAGTGCCCCAAGCCTGTTCCCACCGTGGGCCCCTGCACTTGCTGCCCCGGAGGCCTGGAATGCTCTCTCCCTGATATCATCGTGGCTCCCTCCTCCAAGGTGCAAATGTCACCTCCGGGCACTGGCCGACTCCCGCCCCCCAGCACCCCACACTCCCTCTGCCCCTATCACTCACTGCATCTTAAATGCTATGCATTTCGCAGAGCTGCCCCTGCTCTGTCCTCTCCAGGAGGAATGCACACGTCCCAGGGGCAGGCATGCAGATTGTGTAGTGCTGTACCTGGGGCCTCTGGCCCGCAGCCCAAGACCGGGACTCGGTCCCTGCGTGGGGAGAACTGGGGATGCGAGTGTCGCCCCAGCTCGCAGCACCCAGGGCCCAGCAAGCAGGCAGGGCCGCTACAGGGCCAGCACCACCTCCCCCACCCAGCTCAGCCCATCCTCGGTGGGGCAGGGGTGACTGAGGCCCCCCAGCCTGGCTAGGAGGCAGAGGGCCTCAGCTAAAGCTGCCCACCCGGAGGCCCTGGGCAAATCCCTCCCCTTGGAGGAGCTCCAGGGCCCCATGCACAAAACAGGAGCTGGGCACAGGGTCCTGGGGCCCTGCCCCGCTGTGATGGGTGGAGAGGGCACAGGGTCCCTGGCTGGAGGGTCCAGAGGGGCCTCCTCTTGGGGACCCACATGCGGCAGTGTGACCTTGTGGTTGAGCGAGGCCTTTTATTTTTGTTGCTGTTATTTGTTGAGACAGGGTCTGGCTATATAGTTCAGGCTGCCCCTGAATGCACTGTGTAGCCCAGGCTGGCCCTGAACTTGCGGTGATCCTCCTGAGTGCTGGGACTACAGGCGTGCGCCACCATGCCCGGCATGAGCAAGGGCTTTCCAACAGGGCAGATGTGGGCTGGAACCCTGGGTCTGTCATTTCCTTGCTGTGTGACCTTGAGCAAGCCACTTAACCTCTCTGGACCTGTTTCCTCCCCTAAAAACAATTTCCACTTAAGACAAGAATCAAGTAAAAATAACATCCTGTGTGGTGGGGGCTCTGGGCTGCTGCGTGGGTGACACTCAAATAAGCACCAGCCTACCAGCCGGGGAGCTGGACTGTGGAGACTGCTAGCCAGCACCACATCCGGGGCTCCCCAGACCTCGATGCTAAGGCAGCAGCGAGCAGTGCTGGTGTGGATTTATTTGAATGTCTACTGAGTGTCAGGCACAGTGTCCAGCGCTTCCACGTCCATCAAAAGCCCTGTGAAGAGTGGGCGAGGTGGCAGCACAAACCTGTAATCCCAGCACTCAGGAGGCTGAGGCAGGAGGATCGCAGAGTTGGAGGCCAGCCTGGGAAACACAGGAAGACTAACTCCAAAAAAGTAAAGAAAGCCCTGGAAGTCTTCAGGCGGTGACTTTTCCTTCAGAGGAAGAAGCAGGACACAAGAGGGCAGAGCCCAGGCAGCCACCTGCCCCTGCCCTGTACCCTAGAGAGGGCGCCCTGTATGCACACCCTGGACAGGCTGGCTTCAGTTGGCCTGGTGAGGGCTATGGCCTGGCCGTGCCAGCCGGCTGGGCCGGGCAGGGAGAAGGACACCCTTGTTTCCCAGACAAAGGCCTGCGCGCCTCACCGGGGGTGCTGGGCAGCCACCACTGTGCCGGAAGTCCCTGTCCTACGCCCCTGCCTGCCGGGTGTGTGTGCCTCTGTGCCTGTGCTCTGATGGCAGGTGACAGGGCAGAAGGACCCTTGCCCACTCCCCCAGCACCTGCCCAACAGCCATGTGCCAAAGAGAGCACCAGCCTTCTCCTGGCCCAGTCCCCAGCCTGGGCTGCAGTGCATGGGATGCATGTAGGGCTAAGGCTGGGCCTTGGGGGCCTAGGCCAGACAGCATGGTCCGTGGGAGACCCAGGCAGGTGAACCCCCGTGACCCCCAAGCCCAAATCTGGTGCTCCAAGCCTGGAAAGTGACCACCGAGTACACTCAGGGCCCGCCACCTGCAGCCCCCAGGGCAGATGTCTCCTCCCAACAGAATGGGGTTTGTCCGTTCCTTCCAGGGCCACAGCAGGAAGACACAGCGGGTGCTGGAAAGCACCTGCCTCAGACACTCACTGGGGGGTGTCCCAGTCTCCTCTGGTCAGGGTCAGAGCTGAACCCCCAATCCCCCTGTGTGTGCTGTTCCCTGTCAGTCATTTACACCGTAGTATGAACAAGCTGGCCAGACGGAATCACAGGACTGCAGGAGGAGGAAAGAGGACCCCAGAACAGGAAAGACTCAGCAAGAAGGAGGTATCAAAGACACCTGAGAAGTGGAGAATGCAAACCACAGAATGAAACACACAGCTTGGAATCATTTCAGCAGAAAACAGGTTCTTGTACAGAGAGAAGAAGGAGCAGAATGCTGGGGCCACTGATGGCTAATTCACTTGCCCTGTACCTCAATCCTATGAGGAGAGGATGAGCATTTCCCCATTCCAGGGGGGAAACCAAGGCACAAAGCGGAAGTAACTTGCTCCGGACGCCGCTGCTGACAGGAGCAGAGGAGGTTTGGCCCAGAAGGCCCAGCCCACGGCCTGCTCCTGCCCACTCTGAGCTCCCCACACCTCCCAGTGTCCACCCTGGGGCTGGGTGACCTTGAATACCTTCTCTTTCCACTCAGGAAGAACCTAACTCTCCTGACATCAATATGTGCGACTTGGGTCTTATTATTTTTCTAACACTGGGGATTGAACCCAGGGCCTGCTCACTGAGCTACACTGCAGGCTCGCTGAGCTGCCCAGACTCCACTCTAACTTACAGTCCTCCTGCCTCATCCTCCTGGAAGGTGACTCTGGAGGGGAAGGGACCCCCCGCCTTCTTCCTGGCCCCAAGAAGTAGAAGGCCAGGACCCTGTGGGGGGACACAACTCGGGTCTCTCGGCTGGCGGGGCCTGAGCCTTCCAGGTAGGTGACCCTTTGGAAGTGGGAGCAGGAAGCCAAGCACAGCTGCTCGGTGACCCAGAGCCCGCGCCTGCCCAGCAGAGACGCCTCGGTGCGTTCACCACGAGTCCAGGAGACAGGTCCTGGAAGGCAGCGCCCTGGATGGCAGCCCGGACCGGAAACGGTCCAAATGGCCAGGGAAGAGAGCCGGAGAGCAGTGGCCAGGATGGAATGCGACTCAGCCAGGAGCGCAGCCAGCTGCAGCCGGCATGGGGGTGGCCCGGCCCTCGCAGATGGGGCGTTGCAACAAGAGCCAGGCACAAAGAGGCGCAAGCACTGTCCACGCACAGGCGACTCAGAACAGGCCAAACAACCCACTGTGTGAGTAGCCAGGACTCAGGCAAGGCCTGGGGACAGCCCGTGAGGGACACTGGCCGCTGGGTGGGTCAGGGAGCCTGGGGACACTCTTCTCTCTGTGCAGGTGTTGGTCTTGCTTATGGCCCTTCCTGCAGCTGCTCACTTACCATGTTTTCCTTCTGTTTATTCTGTTTGGTTGTTGTTTTGGTTTTTTGTCTGTTTGGGTCACCCTGTGTAGTTTCAGCTGGCCTTGAACTCACTACGGAGCCCAGGCTGGCCTTGAACTCACACTGAACCTCCTGCCTCAGCCACCCCAGTGCTGGGATTACAGGAATGCACCACACCTGTCCATGTTTTCTTTTTATAAAAGAAAAAAATAATATAAGAGAGAGAGGGGAGGAA